TTCATAAAGGACTCGCTGTCATATTGTATGGAGGAAGATCAGTGTTAAGACAGAGGGCTGAGCTGTAACCATCCTAACGGGAAGAAAAAACTAGCGTTCCCTTCTCTTTTGCTGAGTTCTTCAAGTCAGCCCTGGCTAGCAGATCTGAGTAGGGTGGCAAAAAGTCAAAAGAAGGACTGATTAAAGAAGCTAACGTTGCATCTTGTCTGCTCCCTGACTGTGCATCCTTCTGTGCACGTGGAAGAGAGATGGTCTGGCATTTCTGTCTCTCCCTGCAAGACTCAAATGGTGGTGAGAGAACTTCTTTAGTGCCTTGTATATATCTGCTCACAGATGGAAACATGATTTCCCAAAAAAGGTGAGGAAAGTGGATCATCAAATGGTAAAATAAAACATAATAAAAATGGTCATAAAAGGAGATCATCTGGCCCATCGTTCTGCCTGAAGGCAGGATTGACTTCAGCTAAGTACATTCTGATAGCCATCTGTCACTGTATTTTTTTAATTATTAAATGATTTTTAATAGTTCGAACACCTGTTATTATCCTCTAAGCAATCCATTGCAGCGATTAGCTATTATTTCTGCACCCTGGAATAACATTGCTGAACTAGAACTAACATGAGCCACATACTGGAGGTCCATCACTTGTTACGCTTACTTCTTTCACTAGATCCTTTCTGGGGTTTGGAAAGAAGGAAGCCTAATTAAAATTACATGACTTGCACCCCCCCCCCCATATCAAAGGATCTGGGCCATGATTTCTGTTGATGTAATGATTTAAACTTGACAAAATTCCTTGGATGGCTAAGGATTTATTTTGTATTTCCTCGGGAGCTGGAATACAATAACTGAGGACAGGAAAGTTTTCGTTAAAATATAAAAGCAACTGATTTTGTCTCCTGTGTACTTCTAAAAATTTTTCTGAAGACAGAAAGTTTGGGTAACTATGTAATTAAAGAGAGCTAAAGGAGAGACAGTAATGAACAAATACCATTATTTTTGCCATAGTTCTTGAGAAAGCTAAGGTAGAGCTGCAGAAAATCTGTTACAGTGATGCACTTTACTTAGCATGGGAGTTCATGCAGTGCAAAGAGCTTAATGTGTGCAGCTGAGCTGGGCCTAATGGGCATCAGTTGTTATCTGTGGAAATGGAGTCTGTTAGAAGGAGGCTGGCTACTACACCCGTCTGAGACGGCTAGTGGGATTTTCAACGTACTAGTGACCTTTTCTTACTCATTTTGCTGAATTTTTATCCAATAAAAGCCATCACCTGCCCAATATACCCAAGTCTGTATTGTGCATTCTGAGCCCGTTGGTGAGGGTGTTGTGAGAAGCAGATGGAGAGGAGGGGAAGATTGTAGAGATGGAACAGGAGGTGGAGAACAAGGGGAGCTGCTGAAAGCCGTATACACTCAAGCACTCTCACATTTTTACACATGCTTTTAAGTATGCTTTTATACATACGTGTATATGCGTGTATATACAAAGTGCATTTTACACAGTATTTCTCTCCCAGAAATGCAGAAATGCTGTGAATCTGCCAATAGGCATTACATGCTTCCTTATGCTAGGAAAATTCTTAAGGAAAAAAATTCTATACCTGTTGTAAATTGATCCAGTTTGATAAGAATTTTGCTTATTAATTATACGCCTTATAAAGCTCCTGGCATATGAGGAAGTTACAGATAATTGTGAGTAAGTAAGTAGGGAAGTGTAAATGGCAGAAAACTTATTACCTGTTAACGCTGTTCCCTGTCCATTTTGATGGGCGCCTACTGATTACGTTTACACAAAAAGTCAAACTCTCCAATATTGTATTAAATAAATGTAAGTTTAACAGAAATGTTGCTGACTTTGTTTTCATTGTGCAGCAAATTATTGCCCTGCAAAGTTTAAATATGGCTAGTGAAAGTCACAAAGACCGAGTGGTATTGCTCCATAGGGCTGCTACAGCAGTGTAGTAACCTAATAGCTCCGATTTTCAGAATCCTGACAAGTTACTAAGGCTTTGATCAAACATGAAAGGAAGTACAGTTTTGTTCCAGACCATTTAGAACAAAAGCTTTGTTTACTTTTTTTCCCTATTTTTTTGAAAATGTGTGGGTTTCTCATCAAATACGATCAGCTTCAATCTTAGGTCAACATGACATTCTGAATGTGTGTCTTTGAGCAAAGATAGACTACTTTTTCAGTAATAAATCAGCTCTGTTTTTAGAAGAAAGTGGGTTCTAGAGGTTGACGGTTTACCGACAAAGCTCCAATTGCAATTTTAATGACATGTAAACGAGTGGAGTATCTACAGTGGGCTGAATGCTGACAGGCGAGCAGGAGTGCTGGATTGCCTCCAGGAGGCAAACAGTCTTGAGTTAGAGAGCTCTTTCTCAAAAGCACGAGTACACAGGATTCATTGGGCAGGAAAGTCTACGTTGGAAATGCTAGTCCATTTTCTAAGGTCTTTGGTAAGCTTTTATATCTGGGTCTGATCCACAAATAAACCAGAAGCATCCTGGCTCTTCTTTGTCCTAGTGAGCCTAGTGAGGTTGGGAATCCGACCTTGTACCTTTGTAGGTAGTGGAGTTTGCATGTATCTCTCCTGATACCAGTATTTACAGTTGACACTGATGAAGTTTCACCCCGTAATAGTGGAGCTGCTGGGGGAGGCAGTTGGGGGGAATGGTGGGAAAAGCTGTGTGCCATTCTGAGTGAAGGAAAGATGTTCTTATTGTCCTGGGAGTTCAGCAAAAGGCTCCTTGGAAAGTGCAGTGATTTTTGGACAAATTGTCAGAACTCCTTGAGGTGGCTCTGATGCTGTCAGAGCATTTTTTCTCTCACCTCACACAAAGCTTTTCAGCTCCTCCTATTTTAACAATTCTAACAATAAAAAATCATCGGATATTCTCTTGCTATTTTAAATGGCTATTGTTCCACTGTATTTAATCATTAAGGAACCAGAAGGGACACATTTCATTGAAAAATGTTCATTTGACCCTCTATAAACAGCAACTTGAAGCATTTTAACAGCCTCTTCAAACTGTTTGGACAGAAATAAAGCAGCATCTGGTTTGAAGCATGCTTTCATATTGTATTGTTTATGTTGATAGCTTAAGTTCTTTGCTGTGCATTGTTATTTATGACAATTGAATGTAGAACATTTTTGATTCAGTGTGCTGAATCCAGAGTGCTTTCATTCTATAGCATGGGAATAAAGCAATCAAAGCTGAGGTGACTTGACTGATTTCATTTAGAAGGTTGATTCCAGCAGCCTATTAATGTTAGAGCAGAAGGGAGGGGGAAGGAAAGAATGGAGCAGGTAGCTAAGGGATATGAATTAAAAAGAGTAAGAAATCTGGAAAAGAATCCTGTTGGTATGTCCTGTATGAAAAATTTCCAGGAGTCACTACAGCTATAGGAAGAAATTGCAGAAATTGCCCAAACAAAAAGGCAAGAATTCTATACAGACAGGATTTTTTCCTTCTTTAACTTTTTTTTCCTCTTTCTTACTATGGTTTTGTTGTTGTTGTTTTGTTTTGTTCTTTACTGGAGAACTTGCAAGAAAGTTTCAATCATCTTGCCCACTAAGCCAATGAAAAATACAAAACTACACCTACTTAAAATATTTTCATTGCATTTTCTACATCACTTCAATCATAAACAAATCAAATTGGTCTTGTTATAAATCTAAATTAATTCTAATGACAAAATAACCAGAAGCACAATTTGTACCACCGTGAGTTTCTGCAATGCAACATTACAGTGAAAAAAACAAAACCAGGGACAAAACAGCATTTGTACCAGTGCCAGCAGAACTGTCTCATGGCTGAGAACATTCTTAAATATAAGAATAAAATACCACTTCAGCCAGACATTATCTAAATATTCAATACATCTATTTACAGTCAGCAATATACAACTGTCCAACATATATTAACATAGATTTCAAATATATTAATACATTAATAGATCTCTTAATGTTGCTCTCATGGTATTATAAAAAGTGAATGACATGCAGTTCACTATTTTTAAAAACAATATTAAAGTATTTATATGGTTTGAAGTAACTGAACACATCATTGAGCTTGAAGGCAATCTGGTTTCTAAATATTATAGGGAGGATTTAAGGAACAGAAACAGGTTTCTAATTTTTAGTAATCGTATCCAAAGCAGCTAAGGACGGCATTTTTAATTATTGACTTTTCTGTTAATTTGTTCAGTGTGATATTTCTATTTACTTCACAAGGTGCTGACTTTGAAGCAAGACCAGCTTGACTTCAGAGCTGTTTCCCCTCTATCACCTAATAGGCCTGAGGTCCTGCAACAGCAAGCAGAAGCTTGGCAGCCTTAGTGTTTGCTCCCAGACTGTATCTGGTATTTATAAAGACTTAGAATTCCTGGCTACAGCCTTGTTCAGTAATCCGATATCAGCAGTGTTCGAATCAAAGGGCTACGATACAATACTTCTTCCTATTGTAATGCTGCTATATATGGTAGCATCTTCTACTTGTGGTTTGACAGATCTTTTCAGTCAGGGTGAATTAAGCACTGTATCCCTCCTTTGCCTCTTCTCCCCTCAAGACTTTGGCTCTGCTATTTACTTCCTCTCAGGCTGTTTTCCTTTCATTTGCCTTATTAGTAGGTAGGTCAGTAGCTGATACCACCTACTGCGAGCATCTAAAGGCTTTTCTTTTGTTGCTTTGTTTTTTCCTAAAGCCTGAGAAGTTTCCACTTTCTTTAGTAGTTCTACACAAAAGATATTAAAAACCATTTAAATCTCATCTGATTAGGAAAAAATATGGACTGCACCTTCCTTTACAGTCATTTATGCCTCTTCCTTTACAAGCTACAGAAATTCAGTCGCTCATCTGAGTTTCTTAGGCTGACAAAAGTAGCCACAAATCTAAATGTATTACAGAAATATGACATATTAATTAACATCCTTCCATTTTTGGAGCTCTTTTTATTTATAATAGTCTGGTGATTTTTTTGTTCTTCCTATACTCAGAAAGCCCTGGAAGCTGGAGGAGGTCAGACCTTCCCTGCATTGCTAAGGCATGGGGACAAATTGGCATCTATAGAACAGATCTTCATTGCCTCCCTTGAGCATTTTTCCAAGACTGAACAAATGTAGAAAATGATATTGTAATTGTGGGTCACACTAAGCTATAAAAGAGTGTAAGTCTGTGTGTGTATGTGTATATGTGTATGCATCGCAGTAGGAATTACTAAATCATTGTAAGGAAAGCTAGATTCATTTCAATGGCACTTTGTACATTTTTTTTAAATGTTTAACATTGCATTTTATCCTCAAATACTGGAGTGATCAGGCAGATCCTGGATGTGCTTGTTTTTTACTTTCCTACCTGAGGTAACTAAGAGTTTTCTGATGGAATTCTACCATTCTTGTCTTTGACTCTCAGCTCTCATTACATCCTTCCCTTTCAGCCAATCAATAGCTTTGAGAATGGTCCCACTAATGCTCTTCTTTTATGTTACATCCTTTTCCCTACCAGCTACCACCTTCTCCTTCTTGGCTGCAAAATCTTCTGTTTATATTTGAACCTTGCTTCACCAGCTGGCTTTCTTTTACTCTTGGGTCCTCTATGCAGTGTTACTCTATGTGCACATCCTTTGCACACTTCTGTTCAGTTATTGCCCCTTCTATGCCATACTCTTTAGTTATGATGTTTGGCTCCTCTTGTACCCACTGTTTTGTCTCTTCTGATACCTAGTGTCTGCTAGCTGCCATTGTCCAAGTGCCTGTGTTGATACAGACATATTTTCAGAGTATAATGAATAAGTATTGCAGATTGAAGAGTGAGTATTCAGGGATATATATCACACGCTTTTATTCTCTGCTATTTAGGAGGTTATTGGCTCCAAAGGGTTAGTAGTATGCAACAGATATTTAATATATACTTAATGGCCAGATATTGGTCTCTCAAGTTCATAAAGTTTCTGAACTTGAATCACAGATTTAAAGTTTGGGGTAGGAATTCTCCAGATGATAATTACAAGACATTCATTAGTAAGTCTGAGTCCATGGATTGAATTTGCTAGTTCTGGAACCATAAGATGCACCATACATAATTCACTAAACAGATTTTGAAGAATGACTGTGGCCATTTCAAGCCTTCACAACTAAATTCTCTTCTCATTCTTGCTCTGGAAAACAGCCGCACCATTCAGTGCAGATGCCCAGTGGTGTGTGGCTTCTGGAAGACTTTCACAGTCATAATTAGCTGCCCTGGATATCAAACATAGCTACCCAAGCAACTGCTCTGCTGTATGTCCAAACCACCCACAGCAAGAGCCTCTGCACCAGGATCAAGTCTGCAGCACAAAGCAGTGCACAAACAAAGGTAAGCAATATACTAAGTCAAAATTAGGCTAGTAGGCCAAAACTGCATTTGCATAGAAAATTGAAAGAATTGATGAATGCTCTGTAATACAATACAAAAATCAGTTCCTGTAATGGCTTGTGTACAAGACATTGGTTACCCTGCTGCATTCTCTGTATTAATGTTTTAGCTAACATATGTCCACAGATGTGCAAGATACACTTGGTTATGTGTTTATAAGTAAAAAGATATACATGAACATGTATGCAACTAACTCAGTTGCAATATGACAAAACTGAATCTCCTGCCCTGCCTAGTATTTCTCTATGAACATCACAGGTCCTAGGATCTTCCCTTCATTTCTTTTGTTTTTTTCATGATGGGACTGTATTCGTGGACTGTTTTTACTCATACTCCACATTTCCTATGAGATTCTCTAAACATAAATTTTATAAAATCATTATGTTACATTTATAAACACAGCAGTCCTATTTTCAAAATCATTTATGCAATAAATTTATGTCTTCAGCTGATTCTGGAATTTCCGAGCAGCAGTTATTTTGGCTTTTGGAAACTGCCTCTAGCTTCCAGCAAAGTTCTTATGTAACTAAATGATTGCTGATGACTGAAACAGAGGATCCAAAATCATAGTTTAGAGAACTTCGCTTGCAAATTCTGAGCACCACTAGCTGCCTTATCATTTCCAATGTGGCAGTGATGCCAGCAAGAGACCAGCTGTGCTTGTTGTGAACATGAATAAGGAATTTAACAGAAATGCAGGGAATAGAAAAGTTGTGCATCTGATTCAGTGCAAAAAGTTGACTCCCTGAGAAAGAAAATTAACTGGCAATACATAGTTGTCTTCTGGCATACCTGCACAAACACTAATGACTACCATTCTCTTGCTACCAGTACAGCGGTAATTTGGACGATAGGTGTTTGCATTTCTTGGTTTTGGAATCTTGACAGTTACTATTGCCTCATCCTGCCTTCTTGCATTTGCCTTTCACACTGGAAAAACTTACAACCAGAGCATGATTAATTTTACTGTCTTATAAATGTTAAGGGCAAAATCACTGAAAATTACTTCTGGATTTTCATAAATAAGCTAAATAATCTCTTAAGAAGTCTTTGGCAAAGCAACCAATAAGAACGGAGGGATTACAAGCTTTAGATTTTAATGAGAATTGGTTGTTTGTGGTATTTCTCATTCTGCCACAATCCAACGTCAAAAGAATGTGTATTAAGATTTCTGTGCCTAGAATCACAAAATCAAAGTGTCGTATTTGCATTACTTGTGTGGGCTTTGAATTGGACTAGTCAGATGAACAGTTCTAAATGTGCACATTTGATTTTGTTGGCCATTTTTCCCTTTTTTTATAGACAGCACAAATTTTTAGGAAGGAATTCAGTGGCCAGCTGCCCAAATTAAAGAATAGTGAAAAGATCAAAGTAGTGCATATCGCTATTGTGGTAGTTATTAGCATTTGTGATACCTTATTCTCATGACAGAACAGAAAGTGGCATAACATCAATCTTGTTTTGTTACAAAAAATAATAAAAAGGGGAATTGGTACAAGTACAGTTGTTTTCATTATAATCTCAAGAAAGTAATGTCAGAGTCCTCTTCAGGGGCTGTAATGAAAGAACCTTTGAAGAGCTAGTGTATTCTTCTGTTAGTCACAAAGGTACTGTACGCAGTAATTCCTTTTCTTAAGAAATGGCTGTTCCATTAGACCAACAGGAACTGATCACGAGGGTCCCACTATTGCTGAGATGGGGTCATGTAGAGTGGAAATATGAGCTCTATAACCCTTGACCCCTTTCCCTCTTTATTTCGATTCCTTTAACAATGCATGGTTGGCAGACAAAAACAATGGAAAGTTCCAATCTCTTTTGTTTGGCTTGGGAAAAAACTCTAGCCAGCTCAGTTTTGTTTTTACCTAAAAGTATGTCTGGGTTTCAATTAAAAGGAGCTACTTTAAGTTTTCTAGTCTGTGAAACTTTGAAAAAAGCCATTGTTGCCCATCCATGATCTAACCAACAAGATACAGATTCTCACAGTGTCACCATAAAACTACATCTTATTTCTAACTGTAGAGACTAAGAAAGGCTGGATTGCTAGGAGACTGGATTTTTTTAAAAAACAGCACACCCATTTTTGTACAATTTTTAAACCATTACTTTTAAAACAGGACATAATATGTTATAAATCCAGTGTCAAGGAAATACTGGCAAAAGGATGAACCAAAAGTAACACAAGCACTGCTGCAACTCAGGAGCTTAGCAGGTAATGCCATCCCCTAGAACCCTTACAGAAACATTACATGTTTTATTACAATGGGAAGTTTGATTATTTGAATGTTAAAAGTAGTTGATTCAGATCTCCTAAAGAATTACAGTTTGAATACATATTATAAACTAAGATTGATGGCATATATTTCTGATCTGCTCGGATTTTTATGCACAAACCCACTCATTTTGAAGGTCTAAACTCATTTAGAGATATTTTTAACTTCTTATTTTCTCATATTTAAGGTTTTGTAAAATTTCTGTTTTTTAACATCATTGTACAACAGCTCAGTGTCTTCTTAATAACAAATCCAGCCAGGTATGTGAAACTGACTTATCTTTCAAAAGTCTTTTCATTGTCAACTAGTAAAGAATTGGTCCCTGGTAGCTTACTTTGAGTCACTCTGTTTGAAAGAACCTTGCATGACATAGCAAAATTCTGTTATCAGTAGTTTCCAGTGTAAAATTTATAGTAAAAATACTTCTTTTATATCACCCACAAAGAATTCTATTAGCTGTCATAAACTTGTCCAACAGAATCATATGGTGAGTGTTGCTGAACAGAGGGAAGACATAATTGAAATCCTCATCCCATTGAAAAACCGTATTTTTTTATAAGGTCAGTAGTTTGTCTTTGCTCCATTTGGATGTTTACAATTTTCAGCTTTGGATCAGTCCCCAAGTAAATGGGCTAAATAAGCAGATCCCTTCCTAAATACAGGTCTTCCCAATAAAGGAGACATTAAAGGCCTTTCACCTGAGCAGCTGAAGTGTCACATTTTGGATATAGTGCACCAATTGAACTACCAAGCAGTAGAGAAGAGACAGTCATGGGATGTACAATTACAGCAATCGAAGTACTATAGCCAAAAATTCTTAAATATTTATAGTTTTATTTTTATATTTCCAACAACTGTATTTGTAGGTACTTCAGGTACTTCAGTTTTGCTCAATAGGAACAGCTAAACAAAATGACTCGTTTTCAAACTTTGGATTATAATTGGTTGTTCTTCTGCTAATTTATTTTATTTTTTATTTATGTCTTTTATGGAAAGTTTATTTTTGCCTTGTATCATCACTTAGCACTAAAATAAATTATTATTATAGATCTAAGCAGTTCTTAACATTTAGTTTATAATACCACAGCATATTTGCCATGGGGCCTTAGTTACACTGGAAAGTACTTTTAAGAGACAGCTTTAATGAAGAAGTCCCCCCCAAAAAAGAATAAACTTTTGAATAAACTACAAAATATTTCTTTTCTTATCATCACCTCTGTTACAACTTTGCCACTGGGGTACAAATAATAAGAGTACTTACAATTAGAAATAAATATTTGCAAGAAGGATTATTAAACTCAGGATTGGTAGGAGTTGTCTCAGCCTTAATACCAACCTGACATGATTGGGATGTTACAGTCAGACCTAACCTAGATGAAAGGCCTTAGGTTCTCGCTGAATAGAGAAGGCAGAGAAGTGGTTGTTCATTGCCAACCACTTGACTAGCTACAAGAAAAAAAGGCGTTCTCATTAAAGACAGAGCAAAAGGAAAGAAAAGGTGATACGATCCACCTTCTCTATGGAAATCCTGAAGGGAAACTTTTGTTATTTTTTCCCCAGAAAATTGATATCCAAAAGCAAAATATACCACAAATACTCAAATTTTCATGGTCCATGTCCAGTAATTTGATCAAAGCCAAAACATTTATATCTTTCTTCTAAGTTCTCTTCTTTTCCTTTTGACTTTTATTTATAAGTTAAATAGGCTGTGGACCAAATTTTGCTTCTAGATGCGTGCATGGTTTCCACTGACTTTCACGAAAACTGTGGGTATGACTCTCTAGGCAGAATTTAGCCTGGTGTATGGTTTTGATTCATTCTGTCTTCCTTTAATGTTCAAAATCTTTGAGATTATTTGGATATAATACATGAAAGGGAAGACAATATCTGAAAAAGGGCAGAGAACAATTATTCCCTGTTTCAAGGGTGAACTGCCTTAAGTGAGCAGAAATCAGTCACAGGAGGCTACTTGCTTCACTTATTTTTCTAACTGCTCTAGGCAAATAAAGATTAAGCCATTTTTTTTCAGGCAGGCCCTCTCCCCAGTATAAAGACATAATCAATCTAAACCGAAAGCAACCGGGAAATGTAGCAACCAGGGTTTTTGGCCAGGTGTAGGCTGTATAATGACATAAAAGTGTAGGATTAATTTTCGTTTAGATTTTACTCCAGTATATTCAATAGAGGTAAAAGATGCTGAAATTAGATTTCAAAGTTTTATAATAATTTACTGAGCAGTTGATGAGGGAGTGTTGTACGGCATCTGTATAAACACTGTCTTCAGAAAATCATGTACAGATAAATTCATTATTGAAAAACTTCAAAATCTAAAGTGCAAGGTCAGCTTAGTTTCACAACGCGAGATCAAATCAGAGTGGATAAAAATAATTTACTTCATTTTACACTGAACCACTGCAACTCTTAATGAAATTTAATCCTACTTCCCCTCCTTTGGAAATCTCAATGAAGTTATGGTTCAGAGAGAAGGCAAAAAGTTCAGGTACCCCGGGTTGTCAGGAGGGATTAAAAAGACTAAATCTTTATTTTTGTGCACATCTATACAAAAGCTCGTGATTTTGATAATAAGAAGAATGTTTTATCCAACATAATTTTCTGTAAAACCAAAATTTAACTTCTGAGCTACTTCCAAGCCCAACTCAAAATCATATTCATCCCAGTTTGCTCATAATAGAAATGACAAAAATAAAACCTTTTTCAGAGCTCAGGAAAAAGTATGATTTTGCTCGCCCTCTGATGATGAGAATAAAAGGGAACAAAGACTCAAACTACCCATAGTCTGAGTTTAAAAAGAGAAAGATGTGGCTTTTCTGCCCCTCTTCTGGTACTTTTTGTGGTTAGGAAAGTTTTGCTGAATCTTAGGTATGTTCATTTCTGAAACTGGGGCATTGAACTAGGAATGCTCCCTGGTAAAAGATTTTATTTGCACTTTTAAAAGCCTTATGAGTATTGCTGATCACTTCATCATTACAGGAAGGAGAACTACTAGCAAGGATGGCAGTAAGTACAGCAGACACCATACTGGACAAATCATCAGGTGAGTTGCAATGCACATATGCGCTTGCAGATTTTACATGTATAAGGTCATTTCAGTGATGTATTTTACAGCTTCAATAGGGAGGGTTAGAGGAGACTTCTGATTAACTTCTAACATGAATGGGAGTTTTAAGAACACCTGACAAAATGGAGGACAAAAACAGCACTCAGGAACACTGCTCACAATTTTTTCAATTCTGCTAATAAAAGTACATGATTTCTTGGAGCCTTGAAGTGTTGCTTAGGGCTGCAGAGAGCTTTCAGATAGGCCTGGAGAAGCTCCAAGGAAATTTCTTTAAAGCCAGCATGCACCTAGGAGCTGAAGCCCTTGATCCTATCCTGTCATGGTGGAGAATTTCCTTCTTGAAAGTGGGGATGGCCCCCAGAAGCTGTGTCAGCTGCAGAAATTGCACTGATGGATAGGTAGCCCTCCACAGCAGCTGCTTTGTCTGGAGGCTATGTACACACCTCCCTGGGTCCAGAGATCCTCCTGCTACATCTTGTCTGTATATTCCCAGATAGCTGCTTTGCTATGAAAATGAATCATTTCACAAGAACCATTGAGCTCAGTCTAAAATACGCAGCATTGCAGATAAAGCACAGCGTCTCAAACACTGACGGATTCCCTTACACATCCTTTCATTTTTAATCGCATGATCCCATTTTTCTTGACTCAGCTCTGATGCTGAGCTTTCATAGTGTTATTAAACTTTTTAAACACTGAATTGTTCCTGTTACGAGTTGATGTTCCTGTTCAGCTCATAGCTCGAACTCTGCATTTAACTCCTCCTGTGTATAGCTTTAATTTCGGTGTGTGCTGTAAGCCTGCTACTAATGCCAAGACGAGACAGCCAAATGAGCTTGCCTCTTCTGCTGTGATTATAGATTGCAGTGCAGATTTTCCTTTGTGGAAAGCACTGCAAACTTAAGCATTCTGTAGCAAAATCACCCAAACAAAAAGAAATCAGTGAACTGTAACACTGGTAAGGGTAAGATCATTTTTCATTGAAAAAGACTAGCGTTATGCAGCGTGCATTTGCCAGCAAGCTGGTGTCTTTTAAAACCAATTATTGTATTTTGTTCATGTAGCAGATGAAGATGGTAAATTAGTTCAATTGCAGATCAGAACTCAGAGCCCACTGGAAGTTGATTTGTTTGTCAGCATCCAGGATCTTACAGCATGAAGCACATCTGTCCCAGCCTGTGCTCTGTCACGGGAAAAGGAGCACAAGGATGCCTACATGTCAGTTTGCTAGCCTGAAAAATGCCCTTTCCTTCTGAATGGCTCTCACTTTGCTTGCCTCGATCTTCTACAATTACTTCAAATTTCAAACATTTACAGACAAATTGGCAATACGCAAAGCTGTGACATTCCAAAGACAATGCTCACTGACAGCGAGAGACTCACTGCTTCATATGCTTCAAAACTCAGGGAGAAAAGGCATGAGAGAAAAGAGGCTGCCAACCCAAGATGAAGAAAAATGGCAGCTTTATCTTTTTACTTACTTGTCAACCATATTTCCAGCTGATTGTGGAAGATGGGAGACCCCCTTTTTTGAATTATTTCATTAAGTCTGACGGAAGCACGAGCTGCCCAACACATTGCTGTAGTGGGAAAGTGCTGCTTATTGCAGACTGTCCGGCTATGATTCAAGAAAAGAACTGCTGTGGGTAGAAATGGAAAAATAAGGGAAAGCTGAAAAGGAGCATCTTTGCACCTTAGCTGCACTTTTAGGAATTGAAAAGGTAACTGTAGAAACATCAAGTGCTGGTAATCTTTGACACTCTCATTATTAGGAGGTTTTTAAATTTTATTCATGTGGCTCATATTCAACCTGACAAGTCATGTAGCGATTAAAAATTGGAATGCTGCAACAACAGTGTTAGAATTAGGATCAGTGACTGGTTTAACTCTCCCTGACAAGGAAAGCCTGGCAAATGACTCGGTTCCAGCCAGTAGGGAATCTTCAGGCTCACTGCGCACTACCAATGTGTCCTGACAAGCCTCGTCAAGACAGCCAACGTGGGCTTAGCAGATGCCCTCAGAAAGTTTCCTCTTCTTACCTTCCTTGTTCCTGTGTAGTTTATCCCTGGACTCTGGAGTACATGTTAGGATAGGCTTAATGGAAGATAGTTGCATTTTTTGAGACCTTGCATAAAGCCTGGAGGTAAGCAACTGGGGCTCGGGTTGCAGTTTTTCCTCCTCAATTTCCAGTAAAAGAGTTCATGCAATGATTCAAAATCAAAGGTGGAACGTTTCAGAGTACGAGATTTGTACGAGAGTACGAAACATGAGAGCATGAGAAGCTGATAGAAGGAATTACTGTGGTGCAATTACATGATCACCAAGGACTGAAATTTCCATTAAAGCACATGGTCTCTACCATGAGTCTCGCAGCACTCAGCCTCAAATATGTTGAGATAATGATTTAGGCTCCCCTGGTATCTCTCTCTCTCTCTCTCTTTCTTTCTAATAACATGCTGCCCTTTCTGCAGTACAGTTGCAGGACAGATGTCTTTGACTGATGTGTTTGAAACATGGGTGGTTTAGTATCTGTGTTCTAATAATGACTGATTTTTGGTATCCTGGGAGAACATCTCTCTTGGCACTTAAGATATAAAAAACAAGTGACATTTTGAAATAAACAAGGTCTACAGGTGGTAGAATTAGCACTCAATCTGTCATCCTACATGCAAGGCAGAGCCTCAGCCACCAGATAAATTAAAAATGTCTTCTGAGGTAAGAAGGCTAAAAGTTTGAGTTCATTATGAAGAAACTTACACACAAAGCTCACTCTCCCTTCTTCAGAAGTCATCACAATTTCCATGTGTGTATAGCAAGTGGCATTTCCCTGAGCAGAAGGGCAGGGATGAGAATAAAGATCACAGTGGAAACCTTTCATCCCCAAGTGGTTTGGGCCTGGATTCCTCAGCAGCTCTCCTGGGGGCAGTCTGCAGTATCAATTTTATCAAGTGGGCAGACAATTGACGACTTTTGTTGTCTTCGCCTCATGAAAAGATGCAAGGGTTCAGTCTAGCTTTCAAGTTAACACATCTCTAACTCCTCTGTGGCCCTTGGGACAAGGATTCCTTCCATGCCATGCCAGCATCTTAGACTGCCTGGAAGATTTTATCCGGGTAGAGCACTAGCAATACCAGTGGCTCTGGTGGCTAGAATATGTGAGTTAAAGGAAACGAGTTTTACTTAAACAATATTCAAATATTTGACTTTTATAAATTCTGTTTACTAATCTAAAAACATTTACTTATAGTCAAGAAAATCTAAAATTTTAGTGGACAACTTCAGAGTCCATACTCAGTAGAACTCAAGTGCCATTCCAGTACAGATTTTAAATATGCAATTGCAGATACAATCTGTCTCTGATAAAATATTATTGTGTGCTGCCAGAAGAGATAGTAATCAGCTCTTGATTAATATTCATTGTATACATATAAGTATTCAGGAAATTAAAAGGTATTTTCAGACAGTCAGAGAGCGTACAGAACAAAAGACATTCCTAGATAAAATGAACATGCAGTGGTCAAGGCAATCTCTTGAATTCAGAGTTAGTGAAAGGCCAGCCACTTCATTTTTTCATTCACCCCAGAGGATTAAGAAAAACTGAGCTGATAGAATCTTGTGATCCCACCCACTTTGGGTGCATGTTTTCTAATTAAAATGGAAATTTGATCAATTATCAAAACGCGCTGGCTGATAGAGATGTGCCATTCATCTTCTGGCAATCCTACATCTGCCTTGGAAGCAAGAGGAGTGTTTTCAGGTTCTGCAATAATTTAGACATTAAAAATACCATGATTATTATTACATTCACTTCTAAGGCAGTCATAATTTGTATCTGAAATGAGCCAAACCAAGCCACTGTCCTGCCCTCCACCAACATCATGCAAAATTAGTTAACGCATAAATGTATAGAGAGAATTGCATACATGGGGACAGAGATATATATCTGACAATGATGAAACATTGATGAAGTTATCAGTAACTGTCCTGGCATTTGCAAAAGCTATCATGTCATAGAACAGAATTATGTAGCAGAATTACCATAGCAGAATTATGTACTTCTCAATGAAGTCTCAATAACCATTAAAGTGAATGGAAAATTTTCTACAGTGCTTTCATTAGGAAACATGAATCCACATGAATAACGCTGAGTTGTGCATGTTCCAAGTGGTTCTTGATACAATCTGGGCACATAACAGTCCCCATATACAAACATATCAAAGCTGATTGAGTAAGGAGCACTGGGCAAACAAACAAACAAAAAAAAATTACCATTAATGTAAGTAAGTGCTTGTGCTAGTCTGATAAGCCATGGCTCCTCTGTCACGTGCAGTTCCCCATAATGCTGTTTGCCAAAGAACTGGATTTTTCCGGTGAGCAGTGAGTGGGCACTAGGGAGGACTGCAAGGTATTCAGATACAAATTAGGAAGGCGGAGTCCAGAAAATGGCTGCTGCTGATGCAAAGAGGAGAAAGTTCAAACCATGAACTGAAGAAAAATGCTTATTGAAACACTTCCAACCAAAGCATAAAGAGAACACAGTGTCCAGCATTGCTCTGAAACTGCTCAGTTTCAGAGAATAAGAGCACATGAGGTGGCCGGTTATGGTGCTTTGCTATCCTAATCCTTCTTCGACTAGTTATAAAGCCACATAAAAAAAACTCTCAGTGCTCATATACATCAACAGCTCAAACGGCAAAGGCCAGTCTTAATGCACTAAGAAAGCAGAATGTCACTGATAATTTGCTGCCTTCTGTCACAGGAATCCACTGGTTCCCACCAGTTAGACCCTGGCAGCTCAGCAAACCAAAAAAGTCTGGAAAACTGAAGAGAGACAGAGCCTGCAGTGAAACAAATGGATGCCTCAAAAGCTCCACAAATACAGGACTCAAAGTGTAACAGCAATTTTCCTCCTATTGTGCATTGTCTAAGAATTCCCTTCAAAGTGAAAATTTTATGGAAGATGAAAAGAGAAACATCAGAAGGCTTAAGTACAAATTTCCTGTCCTCTCTCTTACCTACACTTACTTATTTGTAGACTATGGCTAAAAAACAAGTGCTGTTGCAACCCATGTGTCATGGTTTTATGATTTTTGGTCATCAGTATTCCACACCATAACATCATGTAATGCACTGGGGGTGGGGTTTGATATCTGCCGAATGTTCGTCCGTTGGAGAAGAACTACATTTCCCCAGGAGGCTTTGTGGTCAGCAAGGGGATATAACTCCAAGCAAGGTCACCTGATTTTTCTTCTTCACCTGCTCTTCGCTGTCTGCGCTTCGCTATCTGCGCTTCGCCGCCTGCACTTCGCCATCTGTACTTCAGTCATTCAACTGGACTGCACTTCTCACCCCAGCATTGTGGTGAGGTCTATGCAATTCAAACAGACTCTCTCTCTCATTGTATTTTACTAATACTATATTTAGTAAAATGATTTGTTCCACCTCAGATCAGTGCTGTTGGTTTTCAAGTATTTTGGGGTCCCCTGCTTCCACTTTCCCAGAGGCGCTGATCCGCAGATCCCTCCGCCCTGCTGGTCATGGAACTGGGCCAGACCAGCCCATAAACCGTTGACACCCACAAATATGTGCAAATCTCCAAGTCAAGACTATACTACAGTGGGCCAAGAACTCTGTCAAAAGCAATGAGAATAAGATTATCTGGGCTCAGAAAAAGCAGAACATCCTGGCTTGCTGGTTTACAACATTTTTTTTACATTTTGTTTAGCACAATTCTCACTACTATGAAGTTCGACTTTAGGAAGTCACTGCAAATCTTAAAAGTCTTAGACATGGTTGTCCACAATGGTGGGTTGCTGAAGGTTTTTTCTGCCACCATTGTTCGAAGTATTTCTAAAATCGATAGTCATTTAAACACTTGGTGTTCAGACTTACAGTGGTAACACCAATACTGCACTTGCTCCCTATGCAGGGTGTAGGTGTTCAGCACTAGGCCACTGAATCTGCCTAGGACCACCCTGCTGCAAAGGCTCTTATATTATTTAAGATGAAGAGAACAAGAAAATGTGAGTGACCACAATAGATACCCGTTTCATTTTTTGTTCTAAAAACCATGCTGAGATTATAACACTGCTTCCCATTGTAAAAGCACTGTTATTTGAGATTGTTTTTGTTTCTTGTCTCTCTGTGGGTGAGCAAGAAAGCTAACATAATCTTGTTTATTTGCGGATTACAGTGAGTTTATCCTGATTTCATATACAGATGTTTTCCACAGCTTAACTTATATAGGCATCAGTCTGTGTGAGCAGAGTAGGAATGAAAGGAGGAGTCATCTCACTCTGCTCTTCCTCCCCTCTATCTCCCCTCCCCACACACACCTTTTCTTAGTCCTTTGTCATCAATGAATTTGGTTGTGGGGGGGGTGGGGGGAATCTAGATTGGGCACCATGTTTGGGAGTTGAACTGTGAAGGGTAAATCCTCACTGTCTTGATCTCAAACTAGGAGTATAAGTAGCATTTTATATTTTTATCTAACTTGGAAGAAAGGATTAAATCATTCCTCTGGCAATAACTTGAGATTTGTTTTTTAAATATCAAATATCAGTTTGAATCTCCAGGATTAATGGGAATATGTCTGAAAGAAACCTTAAATTAGATTACATTATTTTTTTGATAATTCAAAAATTATTTTTCTGTCTGACGCTGACCAATAAATAAAGAGTTAAATGTAACTTTGGAAGGTATTTTAGTCATAACAATAATCTCTTTATATATCAGTGGGTCAATAGTTCAGTAAAAGAAGGAACTATAACTTGAATAGACACTAATTAAAAGAATCAATTCTTATCCTACTACATATGTCCAGTCATATTAACACATTTCTAGATTTCTTACTCAGTGGACTAGTCAAGATTAAAGGATTTGCTAATATGGATGAACTGAGTATGCTTCCAAACTGACTGAGCAGATTTGTGAACAAATTAGTTCATTTAAAATTGACAGTGAAAGATTGATTTTGCACAGAATGAGTTACCTAAGGTATTCATCATTTCCTCTGCTTCTATGCACAAGACAGAGATCTGCTTCTTTTTCTTTCTGATTGTAATAGGACTGCTTACTGAGCACCTTTATTTTACAGCCATGATTGCAGCCTGTCATTCTTTTAATTTAGACATATTTTAGCCTCCACAGACCTTCAGAAATAACTTCCTTAAAAGCCTTAGTCTAATGACTCATTACATGAGTTGCTCAATTCAACCACAGTACTTTAAATTATAATGCAAGGGGAAAAATTGCTAATTACACAGAAAAAGATCCAATTACTCCTGAGACCATTTGATTCATTATTCAGATTGTTTTGGGGGGTGGGGGTGGGAGGGAGGGTGTCTCTAAACATGAGGTTATGTATCAATGTATTGTGAATGGCACTTAGATGTCAAATTTGACATCAGTTATCATCGTTCAGCAGTATCCAACATCTCTCTATTTTCCCCTACCAATCAAAGTAGGGTTTCCGAGACTCTGATTCATACATATGTGCCAATGCCCCATTCTTCGCTTTTTGCTATTAAATGACATTAGAAGAAAGCTATAACCAATCCCTTCCTAATGCTACTACATGGTAAGTCACTTTGGCATTGCCAGGGGAATATATGTGACCACATACACGAAAGGAAGTGACCCACAAGTCACAAAACTTCAGAGAAGAGTTTCTCCAGTGATTAAATGTGGTCCCTGCTTGATTCCCTGCCATACTTGAGCTAAAGAGCATCCAGATATTTTGCCTGGGACCTGTCTGTGCCCAGGTTCCTCCCATCATGTTTGCAGTTGGCTGGGAGCTGAATTCAATGGAAATGATGTACCTGTCATTGTTGGCCTCTCCTGAGCCAAAATTGCTGAGATTTGTGCTCAGACATAGCCATAAAACCCTTTGGACTCCTTCAAGACAAATCACATCCAATCTAAACTTGGCTTTTGTTCATGGGGCATACAGTACTCCCTGAACAGGACTAAAGTCTCCTCCAACCTGGCTCGTATTTCAGGGTAGAGGGGAATCTGAAATCAGTTAACTACATTCTGTTTCCAGTCTGACTATTGTAGTAACTAAATAATCAAAAATTTTCCATGTATGTGTGCTTTCAACTCAGTTTGCCCAGATGTGAAATGAGATCAAATTTTGGTTCAAAGAAGAATGTTTTAATGTCATTGTCTGAGTTACGCCAAAATTAACAAGACAAATGAAGGTGATTGTAATGTAGAAAAGCTGATAAAATTCTACTGGCAGACTATTGTTTGCAGCTATACTGATGTGAAATTGAACTATTATAAGAACTCTCAGAGATAATAGTTCTTTCTCCAGACTGCTCAGTCATGGCTACATTTTTCCAAAGGCTTTGCTAACTGATTCAGCACCCTGCAATTGTTCCCTGAAACTTGTGTTCTTCCATACCCATTACTCTTCTGCAGTACATCCAGTTTAGTCATCATTAAACCCATCTTATCTATGATGTGCGAGCCAACTATTCCTTTTTTTTTCTGCAGAGTGTCACTTTCTACTACACACTTTCATTTTATGCTTCACTGTAATCATTTCATTTTCTCTCTTCCCTTCATGCTTCTTACTTCCTACTTCATTTCCTTTCCTTCATCTAAATGCCTCAATATTATCTGCTATTTTGTATTGTACTACAGCTCACCTTCATTTTCTCAAATTTTGTGGAATTTCTCCTGTCAGGGATGTTGCATTACTTAGGATGAATTATGCAAAAGCAATAAAATGCAGAATATGTAGATGGCACACGATTGTTATCTTGCTATTAAAGTGAAGCAGCAACAAAATTTGTAATGTATATGAACAACTTGTTCATATTTTTAATGTAGATTAAAAGAATCTTTGCACTTTTCAAGACAGAATGAAGACACTCTCTCCACCTTCAGTGATTTGTTTTTCACAGTTCAATTCTGCCATTTCACAAGTTTGCTGGCTCTAGGGTTATGTGCCCTGGCAAACAGTTGTCTGTCACCTGTTAATGTATTTCCTCACTTATCTGATTGACAAAATCCCTGCCTTGGTCATTGATTTGTGCAGATACACATGAATGTCTGATGAATTCAATCAGAGACATTCAACACTTTTAGCTAGTTTATTCTGTAGGGGTTTATTTTGAGAAGTAATCCATAGCTGTTGCCAAATACTTGTATGTGTCAGGATCAACAGTGAGAAAATAAATATCGCAATTAATTTGTACAGTTCTTACAGTGATGACCCTGCCACGATGCCCTCCTAGATCACATTGTCCAGATTCTATACGCCACCAGCCAAACCTGAGACAGATAGCAAGCAAGTTTGCCAGGAAGGTAGGCATTTTGTGGATGTAGCAGCACCAACAACAGCCCTCCACAATCTGCATGAGAGTCCATGATTAGATCAATTTAAGCAGATAAGCCCATATACATACCCAACCCTGCAGGAATAGAAAAACAACATGGGTCTTATTAGCCCAGGAGGTTTTATATTGCACCCGGATAGGGAGTAGGCAGTAGCATACTTCTGCGCCTCTGCCATGGAGGCAGCTTCCCCCTTGCCTTGCATGACAGACAGCTCAGACGGGTTGAGCAGAGCTCACATTCCTTAGGTTTCAGCTCTGAAATGAAGGTCAGTGCTGGAGAGCAGAGCCGCAGGCTGAGAAAGGACAAGAGAAAGGGGAGAATCCCCCAGCGAGCCCTCATGCCTCCCGTGCACTGTGCTTCTTTTTAAAATATGCCTACCTTCTATGCTAAGAAAGGAAGCCCAATAAATTAAGCTAACATTTCTGCATCTGCCTGAGACTGATTTTCTGTATTATCTTTCATTCAGATCATCTGTCTGAGAATACAACATGCCAATCTGAGGGACTAGCAACAGCTCAAACCAATTTATACACTAGTCGATGCCATCCCTAAAGTATTGCAGACATCAAATTCTCCCCCTTCAAACTCATTACATTGCTCAGGAAGCCTCACATCATGCACAGCAATATAAGAGCCTGGTAACTTCTGCCAAAATAGCAATCCTCTTGGCACATCATTTACTTTGAATTATTCTGTCTAGGGAATGATTCATGGATT